GGCACTTGGAACGGGCTGTCCAGGGAGGTGGTTGAGTCACCATCCCTGTAGGTGTTGAAAAGACGGGTAGATGGGGTGCTCAGAGATATGGTTTAGTAGTGGACAGGTATGGGTTGGACTCGATGATCTCAGAGTTCTTTTCCAGCCAGGCAATTCTATGGCTCTATGTTGGACCCCAATCAGCAGGTGGACTGCTGTGGAAATACATGGCTGCTGTGGTGCTGAAGTACCAGCTTCTAACCAAATGGAAACCTTCCAGTGCCCGAGCTCCTTAGCTGCTTTGTATTGCCCATCAAAAATGGAATTTCTCATGTCCTTTCATGCACGTGTGCGTATTGTACTGTGCTAAGGTGGTTCTCTGTGTACAGTACACAGTGCAAACTCTCTCTAAAAGAACTCTTTACTTCAAGTCAGCAAATCAGTTGCCCTCTTGGATATATTGTTTCAGCTAATTACCTTCTTAACAAACTACTTATTTATTAAGCTGCTTAAAATGGGTTAGTTTATTGTAAGCCCAGGCAAATTGTCGTTTTACTGTACGCTTTCACATAAAAGAACAGAGGATGCCGAAAATTCACTTGAGAAGCTTCTGTATGCTCTGTAATGCCCTCACCAACCAGTATCACAGGAATGTTCTGCCCTTTGATAGGGAACACTCCCTAGAATTGCTTCATCGCTTGAAACTTGAGCTCAGGCAGGAGATGTGCAACTTACTCCCTCCACAGACCTGAGAGGTAAGTGGAGTTTCATTGCACAAGTTCTGTCCTTCTCCAGTTGCTGTAGCAGCACATGCTTTGCATTATTAAGTCAAGTGCCTAAATATTACGTGCTTAGTGGAAGACACTGAAAAAATATAAGCAGAAACCTTCTTCATATTCAAATATTAATCCAATTTAAATTCAATTTAAATAATCCACTTGCATATATAGAAAGATTTTTAGCGTAAGTGGCCATGGTGCTGTCCATGACATGGATATGCTCACACAGTTGCTTAAATTAACCTACTGTTTAAACCAGTTGTTCTCATACTTTTTTTTTTAAAGTCTCACCTTTTGTCTTTGCTCCAATTTCTTTTGAGGCTGTAGATTTTACTTTGGAGCTTGAAGTCGGTCCTTTATTTGTTCCATACTAACTTTAGCTGTAACATATTTTAGTTTCAGAAGTTTGCAGCCAGTGTAGCTGAATTTCTATCAGTTTTGTCATTTTACGTATCGGTATTTGCTGGAAAATCAGATAGGTGTGATTTATAACCTCCTAAGCACTAGCTAGCCACCTCACTGCTTTGCTGGTGTGTTTTCAAAATGTACAGCAAGAATGGCAGTACATGGTCCAGAGAGATAATATTTTCTGTGCTCCTGTTGGGTGTATTTCTGGAAGACAGGAGTAGTAAAAATATAGATACAGTTCAGGGCCAGTTCTGTTGTAAAACAAGTGTGTCACAATAAGACCAATAATTGCAGGGTCTGTCTATGCCTAACAGCTGTGTCCTTTTTGTACATGCACATACTGATAGAGGTGTAAATATGGGTTGTGTACACAGGGTTGGCCACAAAGGAGTTCTGTGTAATAGCTCTGGCACACCTTAGCAGGACAGTGTTTTTGAGAGATGATGTGATGGTGAAGGCATTTTAACATAATCCCTACACACTTCCATAGTTTCTTTGCTGGCATATGGGGAAAGAGTAACTTTGAATGTGGCTTGCAGAAAATAGTTTAGCTTTTGTTAGACCTTCCTATTACTTTAATGGCTGCTATATTTCCATTTTGTAGAAGTATTTGAAGATTTAAAACATTACACTTAGTTGTAAAACTGTATTCTGTAGTTGCAAAAACCTCTTAGTTTCATGGAAGAAACTTGTCTAGTACAAGATGGTTGCTCAGGCTACTATGTATTATTATATGTGAGACGTGGAATATAATGCTTCATTGCCTAACCTGAAAGTTCAAAACATGATTTCCTAAGTCCATGAAGGAAACATTCATGAATGACTGATGTCCAGCATGGTGTGAATACAAGCTGCACACCAGGAGCTAAAGTCCAGACTGTGGAACAGTATATGAGAAATATCTTTATGTGTGTGCCCTATTGATTTCTTCTTTCCTTAAAGAGAGTGAGAAGGCATTGCCCTTCAGGTGCATGAGCTAGATGAACTGTTGTCCATCTAATATAGCTGGTCCTGCTTCCTTAATGAACTCAAAATACAGTGCCTTCTTTCTTGAATTTGACCGTTTCATTTATGTACATTGAGAAAGACCCAAATCGCTGTCTGTGACTATGCAGTGTTTTTGTTTGGTTGGAGCGAAGATCAACTGTCTTACTGCAGGCTGGGTCTATCGAAGGACACAGTGAATGGTTGCTTTGAAGGATTTTGAGGATCACGGTGGGCAGACTTTCTCCTTGCCTACTCTTAGGAATTTGTTTTTCTGTTTGAATCCCAGAAGTTTCCTGTCTAGTTTAAGACAGTGATGAGGAAGGAAGAATTATTGTCCGTCTTGATCAGCAAATAAGACAAAAATAGGGGAGGGAACAGGAGGCAAAGTTGAGATTTGCCCTTTTGTTCTGGTAAAGCATGATGGTTTCTGGCCTTTAATAAGTCTCTTTTCTGCTGTGAAATTGTGGATTGTTGATTTAGACCCTCCTAGGTCACCACCAAATGGTTTTGTGAGGACTGCAGTACTTACTTGGACGCTAAACGGTTCTACTTTGTGCATCGGTGTTTGTATTCGTAGGAAAGGACTCTCAGATAACCCTGACTGTGTCTTGGTTGATTTGTCACTTATGCAAATCCTTGTAAAATATGCCTGTCAAAGGGTTGTTTCTGTGGTATGGATAAACTGGCTTTAATCAAATTGCATGCTCCTCTGAAACCATCTTTGATTCAGCTCACAGGCTAATACCACTCTAGAGTCTTGGCTGTAGTTACTGGTTGTGTACCTGCACTGATGAAGGTGCTGATCTTCGCAGTATTGTGGCTAGTAAGGTGATGGACTTTTAGGTTGTGTCTATGGCACGTACAGTATTGTTTGTGAAATGTCATGTTGTTGGCTCAGATCACTGGTATTGAGGTTCAATTACCTGTTCTTCTCTGTTAAACGTTTTCTTCTGCCTTTTATTTTTGAGACGCGTAGAAGGCCTAGTGGAAGCAACCTCTTCATGAGGAGTTGTCAAATGTACTTTCTTACTAGGCTTTACTTTGGAGTTTTAATGTTTGTGACACAATTTTTCATTATTTGATCATTACGAGAAAGTCATGAGTCTAGCTTGCAGACAGCAGGTTTATCTGGTGTCTTTATGCTTTCTCAGTTTGTCATGTTGGTTTAGCAGAACAAAGATAAACTTGCTGTTATTCTGCATGAATACAGCATTGCTGTTCTGAAGCCAGAGTGACTGAGTAGCCAAAAAAAAAAAAAAAAAGTGCTGTGTGGTAAGAAAACAAGTGATTTTTATTCTGAAAATGCTGGTTAAGTCAAAACTGAAACATTTTTCAAGGAAGGATTATCATCAAAAAGATTATTTTTTTTTTCTGAGAGGTGTGGTCATGCTGAAAGAGCTGAAGACGTACTCTGGGAGCACAAAATACCTCAAGGACTTCTAGGGCATTAGCTCAGGAGGTTGGCTGAAGGTGGTGGGAAGAAGGTTAAACTCCAAATTCCCAACTTTTCCTGTTACAGGTGGCTTGGATCTTGGTCTTCCACTTTCCCATGAGGGCCTAAGCATCTAAGCTATCAACTGTTTAGAAGGAGATTGATCTTTTATTTGTTATCCCTGTTCATTTGTGTATGTTGGGGCACAGGTATCTCTTGTGATCCAGGCAGACTCTTTAATCACTGCTGGGATGTTTGCTGTCCTCTGCTAAATTCTCCTTTTTCCTCATGATACACACCCACCCTTGTCAAAATAGGAAGCAAACATAAACATTTTTGTGTTCTCCATAATTATTCACAGAATAAGGGAAATAAATAATTTTATATTAAGTTTTGAGAATATCTGGTTTTTTTACTAGTTTTTAAGATATTTTGAGTTTTCTATCTCCATATATTCTCTCCTCCAGTTATGAAACTTTCTGTTTGCTTACGCCCATGTCAACGGATGTAGAAATAGTTTGCTGAGTGTGTAATTAAGTGAATCACAGTCCCTTATCCTGCAAGTACTTGAGAAAGTAACCAGTATTATTGGATAAAGTCATAGCATCAAGTGTGCACACAAGTAGGTTGCTGGACTGGGGTTGTAGGATAATTATTACAATCTTAGTTTTGAAAAGTGAAAGTCATGTTTCAACTCTTGCATTTTATTCAACAGCACTTCGTGCAGGATGTAGACTTCTGTTGGTCACGGTTCCTTGTTTGGAAAATAAGAATTGTTTGTGCTTCCAAACTGAATATGTAAATCCAATCAAATTGACCTAGACAGAAGATTCAACAATGCTAATATTTTTGTTATTGCTGTGTATTCTCATGTCTATTAATTATACAGTGAATACACAGACTTTGCAGAATAATGCATCAAAATCTTTGTGTGTTTGCTGTTCTTTTCTTTGCATGCTTTTTCTCTATAAATCTTTTTGGTGTAGGCATATTTATTTTTTTGCTGTTTTACACTGAAATTAATTACTTAATGGCCTCTAATACTGGGAGCCTAGTAGCCATGGTGCCCAACCATTACAATGTTTTTTTTAAGTGAAAATGGTATTCTAAATCTTAAAAAAAATCCAAACCAACAAACACCACCAAAAAAACACACCAAACCCACAAAACAACCTTAAAATAGGGAGGGAGTGGACAATGGAGAGGAAGTAAAGGACTGGGGATATTGGGATAAGGTTGTGTTGTAATTTGCAAGACGTTATTTTGTTATTGGATACCATGAATTTAGTGCTCATTTTTCTTTTGTCTGTGATGGAGTTTTTTAACAATGGACTTGCTGTGTGTTGACCTTTCTTTGAAGAATGACATTCTTGCATTTGCACTTTTTGATCTTTTTAAATTTTATTTTTGTTTTGCCCAAAGACCCTGTGTGGACAGTAATGACCGCACGTTTCCGATTGCCTGCTGGCAGAACCTACAATGTACGAGCATCTGAGCTGGCACGAGACAGGCAGCATACGGAGGTGGTCTGCAACATTCTTCTCCTGGATAACACTGTACAAGTTTTCAGAGTTAATGTAAGTAACTTATTGTCAATCAGTATCACTGAGCTCGCTTTCCTTTGCTGGACTTGTATGGCCAGAGTTTGACTCTGAAAATAGTGTTGAGTATGGAACAGAAAAGGAAGTTGCATTCAGGCAGGCGTGCTTGTACACGTACGTACTAAGCCACTGTGAACTTAGTCATTCTGGCATCCTCTATAGTACTGATAGAACTTCACTTCAAAATTGAGTACACAAAACATAGCTTAGTATTTTCTTCATGGGCTGAAGTTGTATAGTGGTAATGGAGGGCAGTTATGCCCCCAAATTGAGTGAGAAGTGTGCTGTTGTTTTACTCCACTCTGGTTTTTCCATTTTGAGCATGAGTAAGGTGTAATGGTAACTCTTCTCCTGAGTGTGTAACTAACTGTTCAGTCATGTGTATGATTATATTTGGGTACAGCTAAAGTATCTCTTTGCTTTTTGCTTTTCTCAAATTATATTCTTGTTCTATGATTTCCCTCACTTAGACTCACTACCTTCTAAGGCACTAATGAAGATGGCAGGAAAGAAAATAGGAAGCTGATTGCTGAGGACAGTTACTGGGAGAAGTGAATAATTTTTAGATATGAGCCTGGAATTTAAAATAGGTTATTCATTAGATTTTTCTAATCTGCAATCCTTGATAAAGAGCTAAAATTAAAATGTTCATGATTTTGTACTTATGTTTATACAAGTGCAGCCATTTCTTTCAACTTGTTGAGGAAGAATCCCCACAAACAGGCAAGGACCTCACAAGAAAACATTAAAGCATTTAAAGTGATCTTTGTGCGACAAGAACCAAAATTCAACAGGAGAGAAGCTGTGAGGTGTCCTAGGGCAGGAGAACTCAGCTTTGACTTTCTAAGTTATAGAATTGATGACTTACGTGGAGAAAGGTTGAATATTATGATGGTAAAAGTTACAGGTGGCATGATTATTAAAGTTTTTCAAGAGAAAGTTGAACTTCAGTGAGTGGAATGAAGGATTAGCTTGATGTGAAATAAAGCTGTGGGACTTCAGCTGGGAAGTGGGGGAGAAACTGAAGGAGTGTTTAGTTTGGACTATTTTAATAAGTTGCAATGCTCAGTATTTATATTGGATTCTGATATCCAGTGTTTAGTGAGGATATTGATACATTTTAATGTTTTAGGGCAGATTTGTGAGAGTGGTTGCATTTCTCTGTTCTGTAATCAGGTGGTTAGAGCCTGTGCAGCGTGCAGCTGCCTATCAGAGGAGCAAAATCTCTGTTATCCAGCAAAAATTTGCAAGGATTCAGTGTCGAGTGGCTTAAGATTTAGAGGTAGACCTGGTGATTATGTTTAGATTTTTCAATCAAGATAGAAGGTTTTGGATTGTTCTCTTAAGATATTTTTGTAGTTCATTCAGGTGCTGTGTAACTTTTTGGGACTTCTGAGTAGTTAAGGGCGGAAATTTTGGATGAAGGAGCTGGGGGAGGGACATCCAAAGAATTTAATTTATCAACATCAAGCTTCATTTGCTTTCTGGAATAATTTGTCCTACATACCTTTTCCCTTTTTTCCCCACAATATGTCATTGCTCTTCTATATCTGATCCCTGCTAACAGGTCTATACTGCCTGCCAAAAAGCAGTATATGCAGATGTAGTTGAAGACAAGGCATTAAAAGTGCATGAGAAATTGTAAATGTTGGGTGCTCTGCTTTCACATGCATTAAATATCTGCCTTGCAGAGTTTTGTTTCTTTATAAGAGTTGGCTAAAATAAGGAACAATTGCTGTACAATAGGTATGGGAGGTTATACTTCTTTTTGATCTAGGTGTTCAAAAGCTATATGTTGTTAGAGAATGCCAGTGCTTGTGTAGAGTAGAATCACCAGTTATAAATCCTGCAATGTCGATTGTGTCTCTCCTAAGAAAAAATTATGTAATATGTTCTCCCCACCTCCCTAGTGTACTAAATATTTCAGTTGCATGGATCACGCTTTACTGCATATATAGATCAGCCTGCAAGTTTGTCTATTAAAACTGAGTTTGCAGAATAAAAAGTCTCCTGGTGCTCAATATTTTGATCTCAGGTCTTAGCCTCAATCTGTTTTTTTCAAAAATAGGGAGTAATAAAGCATTCAATCACAGCAAATATATGGCTAACCTACATGGTATACTGATTTTCAGGGTTTATAGCTGTGTTTTACTTTATTGTGGTTGACACAGTACTTGGCAATAAATATTTATGGAATTGTTTTCAAAATAGGAAGAACAAAGATAACATCAAATAAATTAGCAGGGTTTTTTTCTCCTGGTGATTGCTATATGTATTCTCTATGCTAATGATTTTAAAGTGTAATCATCTGGGGTATGCAGCACTGTATTAATAAAAAGCTACTGAAATGCTGTTTCTTCTCTAACCACAAAGTACAGATCACAGACAATGTCTCTTGATGATGTATGTGACATGTCCTAAGTTGACATTTCAACCAACCTTTTCCATTGATCTGCAAAACAGGCGTTCGTTGTGCTGAGCCTTACCTTGTACAGAGCGTAACGAATCAAATCAAATAATCCCTGTGGATTGTAACCCTACAAAAGTTATTTTGGTTGCAAGCAGAAGAATCAATTGTGACTAACCTGTGCATATGTTTGAAGAGTATAAGAAATCCTTTCTATAAAATGCTCTTACCAAATGATAGGACACCTACTTCAACCCCAAAAAGCATACTTCATAGAAAGCATAGCTGAAAGAAGTGAGGATGACTTAATAACATGATCAGGATGATTTGCATTACTGTAAACCTGCTTCTTCAATATCAAATTGCTTTAATTGGTTTTAATAACCCAAAACAAAACAAAAAACCCCCCACACCAACCACCCTGTAATTCTAGAAGTGAAAAATTTCAATAATTTAATTGTCAGCATTACTTAGTTACTTCCCTTTTTACTTTGACCAAAAAAATTAAATAGTCTGCTTCAAAACCTTTGTAAAAACAAGATAACTTTTTGCAAAGCTCAGGTAAGCTGTAGAATGAAAGGAAACAGTAGTGCAGTGCTGGCTGTTGGGGGACCCCCTCGCTTCAGTTGCAGTACAAGCATTGCAGTGAACTGCAAAGTGGGAGGTTCCAGGGGTCTCATTAGTGAGGAACAGCAAAACCTCCCACAGACCTGTGAGCAGCGGGGTGGTCTGACCCCCTCCAAGGAAAGCCCAGGACCTGCCATCCCATTCCTCTGTTGTCAGAAGTCCAAAGTTGTTTGAAGTGGTGCAGCAGCAGTATCTCCTGGTGCTTGCTGCAGATGCGGCTAGTTCTGTAGGTCAGCAACAGAACTAGAATGTCAGTAGTGTAAATGGGGAAGGTTGTGGTGATAGTTGGGAAACACACATTAAATCTATGTAATTGCATATGTTTTGCTAAATTTTCAAACATGCCATTAGAAATTAATGTGTACATATCTAGTGGTGCTAGATGTTAGCCACTGGATGAGAGATACTTCATAGCATGCAGTTAATATGTCATATCTAGTGTTGATGTCAAATTTGTTCTGAAAGGCCAAAACTTGTTAGACGTTTTGCCTCCTGCAGTGACTACTAAGAAACACACATAATGTTCTAATATTCCCATTCAGAAAAAGTGTTGTCAAGTTTTGTATCCAGCTACTGCAGTTTCATGTTAGTTCCCCTTTTTCATATGTTTTTCCATTATTCCCTGTTTTAAGAGGAAATATGTTTTAACTTAAGTATATTTAAGAGGAAAATGTTTAACTTTATCTGTAGGAATAAAGCAAGTTTGGTTTTTTTTGCTAATCCACATTTATTGTTTTTTCTTTTTTGTTAAAAAAAGCAAAAGTAGAAACTTGTTATCATACTTCTTATAATTTATAACAGCTATTCAGTAGTTATGATAATATTACAAATATTCTGGACCTTTCACAACAAGCAGGATTATGACCTTCACCTGCTCTGGCAAGCTGCAACATCATTATATAAATATCAGAGATGGGTTAAACTGAGGTCTGGTTTTACTAGATGCTTATCTTTATTTTGCACAGAGAGTAAAACATTGTGATCAAAACAAATGCTTCAAGTTGAAACTAGTCTTCGCTTACCAAATTTGCTGCTCTGCCCCAGGAGAAATACCTTCCTTGTGGTCGTGAAATGATGTTCTGTGTTACTAAATTCAAACTGATCAGCAAGTTCTAAGCATTTTCGTTAGGAAACATCTATTTGGATATTTAAGAAACAGTAAAAATTCTCAGGTTTAGATTGGGAAAAAGCTACAGAACTGATATTTGCATGTTGTTTAAAGTAACATGTCAGCTGTGGTAAACATAACTTGAGTTCCAAACATGTACCATTTTCTGATAGTTACTGTCACCAGTTCTTAGTTCGAGTTCTGATTTAAATCTACATGGGGAAAAATGCCAAGAAGCAATTAGTGTTGCTATGTAATTTTAAAATTTGTTTTATTTGCTGCAGAAATTGTACTGATTACTGGTTTATTTCAAAATCTATCAGAAACTCCTAATTTAGGAAAAATGAAAGTTACTCTTTGAATTGTACATAAAAACTGCCTTATGCATTTATACTATTGTGTATTTATTATGTTAACATCTGTTTTTTTCTTTACTTGTTTTTAGTTCTTGGAAAGTAAATTTTTCAGTAGTGAACTTTTTAAAAATGGTGCTCCTACTGGCTCTTCATTTCATTAAACATCAAGAAATTTTCTCTGTATGCTTTCAAAATTTTTTTTGTGTGATCTTTCAAAGTAAATATAATAATACTTAGATCACTTTAACTTAACCAAATTTATATGGGACCTGAAATATATTCCTTAGGTAATTTCAACTTAAAAAATAAAAAAATCATAGCTGTGGCTATGATTTTCCTGCTGGGATCATTTCAAGCATAACTTGTTGATAACTATTTTCCAGGTTTTTTTATTATTATGTAATAAATTATCAAACTTCTTGGAATTTTTATCCCCCAATAAATGATTTTGACAGTTTATGCAACTTCAGTGTAATTTCAGCTAACCAAAAAAATGAGTTTTGATAGGATGCTCTTAGATGTTAAGAAATGTCTTAATGTGACTTGTAGATTTTTCTCATCTGTGAATATTAATGAAATTCTTGCAACCTTCTTCTGACTTTTTAGTTATATACTTCTGTTCTAACAGCTGTAAAATTAAACTTTTGTATTATCTCTATGAGAAGTGAGGTCGTTTGGGAGCAGAGCAGCAGGCTTTTTTGTTTTAAAACTTTAAAAATATCTTATTGCCTACAGTAAACAAGGCAAGATGTGTTAAATCCACTGTAGCATCAATAATACTTGGCACCTAGAAGATTCTTAGAAGCTTCCTTGGTGCCAGAGAAGTAGAAAATCTGGGTGGAAAATGTATCAGTCATCTCTTTCATCATTTCTTCTGTTGACAATTGTTCTTGCAGACTTTTTCCTTGTCTTTTGTACTTGAAGAAGTTATCACACTTTAACTTCTTTGGGAAACTCCCTTCAGATTTCACCGAATGTATTTACTGAGTCCTGTCATAATGGCACACTCAGTGTTTCAATAACTGTGTTGGTAGTATTTTCAGGTTAGGCAATAAATTACGAGGTGCCAGAAACTATAGATTCTTTTTATATAATTTTGTGGGCAAGGTTTATCCCTGTAGTAGAAATCAAGTTTCTTCACTTGTTTCTGAAAAGCAATGTTACTGTTATTCAGTTCGTTTGAATTAGTTAATTTCGAGTGAAGCAGTATCTTTGAGAGAATGCATTTAAATAACACTTCTCAGATATTTGGCTGCTTCAGCTGTCTGTGCTGTTTAACTTTGGAAAGGTTTTCAGTGTGCTGGTTCATTTAGATTCAGGAATAGATTTTCAGATAAAATAAGAATAACTTCTACAGACCTGTACTTTTAAATTCAGTGACCCTCACAAGGCTACAAAAGAGGACTACATCCTAGTCCTCTTTTCCCTGTTCCCTTTGCCCTGTCACCTTTCCCCTTTTATTTGGTATTCTTTTTAAGTATCAAATTTATCAAATTAATGGCTTTCAGGAATAATTGTGTAGCTAGCTGAGAAATAAGAAACTCTTACTGTCAGAAAATGACAAAAGAGGAAGAATAATTCCTTACTTATGTTTAAATAAGAGATGAAGGTTGTTTAAAAATAGGGGGATGCACTTAATGATATTTAAAATTTAGGCTGCTGAGCACATCTGAAGAAATGTGTGTGTGCTCTGCCCACCTGAAGTCTGTATGTCCGATTATATATTTGTTCATTAAACAATATATGTATTTGTTCTCTGCAGAAACATGATCAGGGACAAGTTCTGTTGGATGTAGTCTTCAAGCATCTCGATTTGACAGAGAGAGATTACTTTGGTTTACAGTTGGCTGATGAATCTACTGATAACCCTGTAAGTTGACTCTGTTCTATAAATATGATTTTATAATTCATAATAATGTTCATCATCCTGCTCTGTGTCATTGTAAAGAGAAGTAAATAGAAGCCACTGCAATGTTGTGCCATCTTCTCCAGCTGTGTCAGTTGAGTGGGTCAGTATCACCTTGCAGTTATGGTAAAACTAAATGTTCATAGTTAGACGTTTGGAATAAAATGTTGATATTTGTGTTTAGAAATAATACCTTAAAAGGTCAGTTGGGATAAGAGATAGAAACTTATACTTCTTTCCCCCTTCCCCTTCGGGGTTTTTAGATTGTCCTGTATGGCGTTTTTGTTTCTAGACCTGGTGGGTCTTTTAGTAGCGCTTCGTATAGTCCACTATCTAACAAGGGCTGTCAGCTCATCACCTTAACAGGAAGAGGAAGACACTCCTTTGAAAATTAGTGTTTGTAATAGTTCATGTACTTTAACTGAAAGTAAATTCCATAGGACTGAAACTTTGTAAATCACTTTATAATTCACCAGTAGAAATGAATAGATCCGGCTGTAATGTTCAGTGGCTGAAATAGTTATATCTCTGGTGTTGAGATCATGATTGCTTGAAGAATACTTCTTGAATACTTTCATTTATAGGTATCAAATGTTCAATACTTGTTTTAAACTGCAATTTGACTAAGTATTATTCCTTATAATACAGTTCTTACCTAATTCCCATTATATGCCTTTCACAGTGATGGAGTCTAAATTTATCTACCAACTTGTGTGTCAAAAGCAATTTTTGTTCACAAAATGTGCAGAATGTGATCTATAGAGATAAGTGACACTGTAAAGTGTTAATCATTCAGTCACTAAGGTGAATTTCGGAAGACAGTGCGACTTTCTCTGTTAAGTGCAGATTTGGTCTACTATTATTTTACCATTAAGAGTGATTGTTCTAAATAGAAGGGATACTTTTTTTATCGTACTAAGAGGTTGGAGTTTTTTCTTTTTACTTATTTTAATGTCTTTTTTAATGTAGAAGAAGAAGAAAGAAGTCACAATACAGCCATAAATTTTCTTCTGCCTGAACTACTTCTGCGTTTCTTTTTTCTCGAGAGCAAATTATTCTTAATTATATTATTTTTCTAGATTCTAGTAACATTAAGATTATTAATATGAATAAACCTTATCCTAGCAAAAACCAGGACAGCTGTATAGCGCAGTTATAGAACAAAGTTTTCTTTTGTAACTTTGTGGATAGTTCTGTTAAGACATTGTTAAGTTGGCCTAATTTAATCTTTTTATTCTAAACTTTGTTTCCATGCTGAAAAGACACAAGTATGCTGTAGAACAGGCTGAATTATTTTTCAGTTTTGTTTTAGAAGTATTTAATTGAATATCACTCATTATTTTACTCAACATTCAGAAATTTATAGTATTTCTCATTCTCATTTATCTGTCTTTCCAAGGCCTAGAACTCTAAGCTCTCTTTTTAGTTTATCTGTCTGGAAGCAGCTGAACCCAACACTGTAACAGAAGAATCTGACCAAGAGTTAGTCTAAAAGAAGAATGACTTCACAGCTATTTGATATAAGCACATGCTTTAAAGGTTTAGTGTTCTTCAACTTCTAAATATTTTGGCTTTTCAGCATGTATCTAGTTGCCATGAAAACAATGTGTCAGAGCTAAATAGAAATGTTACAAATATTAGTCATATAAGCTTGAAGGATTCATGGCTTTGAATAATTTTAGTTTTTTTATATCAGTTTACTTTTACACTGGGTTTATTTGGACAAAGAAAACATATTGGATTAACAAGTATTCCAGTTACTTGTGAAATAACACAGCAGAATATTACTCAGATATAGTCAATGCGGCAGGAAATAAAGATGATGGTGAAAAGGGGTTTCTGCTAATTGAGTGTGAAATCTCCGTCATTGTGCCTAAACGTGGATTTCATAAACTTCACAAGCTCTATATTTTTGTATAATACTAATGCCACAGTAAAAGTCAATGCAAGAAAGCATTGATGCTGTGTACAGCTGGAGTGGTGTCTTTGGCTCGGGTCTTGGCTGTGGATGCCTGGAGCAATGCTGAGAAGGGGATATTGGGGCACAGTGGGAGTGAGGGTGCAGCAAAAACTGTCAGTGTGGGTCCTGGCGTGCCCTTGGCAGGATGGACCGAGGCAGGGATTGTTGCTGGGGGAAGAGAGAATACAGAAATGACATTCCAAGGAACTGGGGTGCAAACTTCATGGATCACCAAATAAATCTACCTGCCTCTCAGACTTACCGGGTTGTAAATGGGATGACACATCTTGCTAGCAGCAAGCAACCTTGATTCATAAAGTTTTAGTACTTTTGCCTAAATCCTCTCAGCTTCAGCTTCTTTACAATATTAAGTGGTTTAACCCTCTGCAGTTTCCAAGAGAGAAAAATCACCTTTTGCATTTGGATCCAATGATCCAAGAAAGACACGGACCTGTTAGAATGAGTCCAGAGGAGGCCATGAGGATGATCCGAGGGCTGGAGCACCTCTCCTATGAGGACAGGCTGAGAGAGTTGGGGCTGTTCAGCCTGAAAAAGAGAAGGCTCCAGTGACACCTTCTAGTGGCCTTCCAGTACCTGAAAGGGGCCTACAAGAAAGCTGGGGAGGGACTTTTTACAAAGGCAGGTAGTGATAAAACAAGGGGAAATGGCTTTAAACTGAAAGAGGGGAGGTTTAGATTAGATATTAGGAAGAAATTCTTTCCTGTGTGGGTGGTGAGACACTGGCACAGGTTGCCCAGAGAAGCTGTGGCTGCTCCTCCCTGGAAGCGTTCAAGGCCAGGTTGGATGAGGCTTTGAGCAACCTGGTGGAAGGTGTTGGAACTGGATGATCTTTAACTTCCAACCCAAACCATTCTATGATTCTATATACCACTTGAAAACATGGATACTGCCTGTTAAACACGGTTCAAAAAAAAGTTATGCTTCTGTGGTTTGGACTATGCTAGTACATATCAAATTGATCTTTACAACCAGAAGAAAATGTAAATGCAAGCTTTTCTGCTAGGCATTTCAATTCCAGGTTTTCTGGATTAACTGTAATCTTAACATTTCCCACAACAACAACAACAAATTGGAGGATTATCGGTCAGGTCTGTGCATTTATCAGATATTTTGGATCATAACCCAAGTTTACCCAAGTATCTTTCACCATTTTTTTGAAAGATTCTTGTATAAAATTCATGCATATACCTGGCTGGAGAGCCCTTTCTTAAGCCCCTCTACATTTTAGTCTTCAAAGTTCATTCATCCTGTGTGAGGTTGTTTTTGTTTTTGTTTTTGTTTTTTTTTTTTAAATCATCATAGGTATAACATGGTATCAGACAGTCTCTTTAGTTCTTCTTAAGTCATCCAGTACAAGGATACAGCATTTGGTTGTAGTCATCATTATTTGTTATTCCCAATGAATAAAATGACTCACAACTAACTTCAGATCCATAGTGTGTTTCAGATAGCTCAGGTACCTCTGTGCCTCCTCCCTCACATGAAAAAGATAAAAAGCCCTGTGATAAAGGTGAGGTAGTTAGATGCATATCAGCTCTACAGGGTTAGATCTCCATCACTTCCTGGGAACTGTGGCCATATAACCGTTTTCCTGAGGCTTGTGGGCTTGCATTGCAAGGCAGGATGAGGAATCGAACAGTATTTATAACAAAAGAAAGATTTATGAGTTCACTGAACAACACTGGTATGTGCAGAGTCTGCTGGAATGGCTTAAACATTTTTTATGTCTTTCCAGAGAACCATACTTCCTTCTGAGATTTGCAGCATTGATTCTTAAAAAGATCTGTCTGTACTTCCCCACAAGAGTGTTCTCCCGTAGAAATGATAAAGATTGGGTGCCGTTTGCTGAAATTGTTTTGTAGTCCTTAATCCAGTAAGCTGAGTGCTGAGCCCCTGGTTTCCAGAATCCCAATTAGTGACTTACCAGAGCTGACACGCAGGCTGACAAATTGAAGAGAATCTGTGAGCCGGTGGGATCGCTCCCTGGATGTGTCAGACCTGCAAAATGCAGAGTCAAAAACTGGAACTAGCTTAAGCAAATTAACTTCTGAATTGGGTAAATAGCCTGCTTGTAGCTCTTCATTGCCACAGTTAGTTCACCTCAGATAATCAGTTTAGAGGGTAGCTGAAGATTGTTAAACACACCATGGTTGAGTTCTAACCTCTCTCAGGCTTGTGTGACAATCATAGAACCAAGTCATAGTCCAGTTAGCACTGCAGGAGGCGGGTATCTGGACAACAGAGGTTAATCTCAAGAGAAGAAGGACAAGAACAACTGTTCATAATAATGTTGGTGTCTTTCCAGAATCAGTAAGAAGACTTTGTATACCAGTAAGTCATTTTGGTAAAAGACAAAAAGTGATGGAAAAGCAACAGTTACTTGCTGTATAAGGCTATAATTTGTACTTTTTTGTTTCTCTAAAGTTGGTGTTATAATTTGTCTCTTTCCAGAGGTGGCTGGATCCAAACAAACCTATCAGGAAACAATTAAAAAGTGAGTACATGTATGTATTTGGTCAATTCATATATCATTATTGTGCTGTTTTTCCAGGGTACCTTGATTAATTAGAAATAACTTTTCTTAACCATAGGAGGATCTCCTCACAGTTTGAACTTCAGAGTTAAGTTTTTTGTAAGTGACCCAAACAAGCTCCAAGAAGAATATACAAGGTAGGTCTAGTTAATTAACCAATAAAACATTTTTCTAGAAGGCTTATGTTTAAGGGGAAAATGGTCATTAATTTTTTTTTAGGTATAACATGGAAATTTTCTTTTAAATACTTTGTCATATGTGCAAGCTTCTAATTTTTGCCTAATAATTACAGATATGAACTGTGCAGTTGCACCAAATCAATATAACAAAAAGCTTCTGTGAATAAATTTCCAAATTTATATGCAAAGTGAAGTAACTACACGAAGAAAATACTACCAAGTAGAAAAAGAAAAGGGAAAATAGAGAAGAGAGGAAAAACTTAATCCCACTATTCACCAATGAGTACAATTTAATTTTATCTTTACTTGTATTCTCCTTTGTGATTAAAAAAATTCCTGAGCTTTCTGCATTTTTTCTTGATTTCCCCCACCCCCGCCCCCAATTTTCTGCTTGACACTAATAAAATTAATCTCTGTTTGTATGGTTGTAGTTGTTGTTTGAAGCATGTAAGCTTATTTTGACAGCAGTGTATTGAAGTCTGTTGAAGAAAATGCTCAGTGTGAATCAAGATAGGAGGCTTGTGAGTTGCAATTAGTCCCTGAAGAAATGCCTCAAATTTTCAGTATTCTTAATTAGTTCTGGTCCTCTACATAACTGGCATGATTTGACAGATTGGAATTTTTGGATGTCAGCCATTCTGAAAACACGTCAGCCTCATTCAAAAAACAATATTTAAATTATTAAAGTTAGCTTTAGAAACGTAAGTACCAAAACTGTGAAAATTTGAGTCCACATTTGTTTATAATTTCTTCTGATTTGTCATATTTTGGACAAAATTTTGCACATATCTGTGCAGCCAGAATTTAATAAAACGAGTCTCAGGGATCCTGGATCAGGCTTTGTTTTACTGAAATATTTACTCTGAGAACATTTTGCAATTTACTGTATCTGAATAATGAAAAAAGTGTTATTTGAATTAAAGGACAATATGTAATATTCCTAATGAGATGGAAAAACCAGTAAATATTGATCAATATGAAATAATCAGTGAAGAAAAGGAGAACTATTTACTTTAAATGTTATACTGTAAATACAAAGCTTAAATACAGCATCCTTTTAGGTGAGAAATAATGTATGAATGCTGTATCTAGGTCAGCTCTGCCTTTTTTGATAATAGGCCTAATTGCCCCTGAGAAAACTTGTTTGTATTTAGAATTATTATAAAGAGAGAGTTATTATCTATGGGATTTTTTGGAGTGAAGTTAGGATGCCATGTCACAAATATGGGGTCCTGTCATGTAATCAGTATTCACCCCTTAAAAAAGAAAAACAAAGCGCAGTCTTCTGACAATTCCAGCTCAAGCTGAGACTTTTCAAAGATGCTCAGTTTTTATAAATGAAAACAGGAATGAGTCAACATGTAAGACAGCATGAATGGACATCAGGAAAGGGTTCAGTGCAGGCTTGTATCTTATTAGACCTCTGTGAATTCATGTGAGGGAGGCAGGTTATGAATGCCCTGGGTCAGGAAAGGTCAGCAGGAGCTCAGCTCATGTTGGAAAGTTTAGCTTTAGGATCTTGTCTTGGTAGGAAATGGAGCTTCATTAGTTCTGCTCATGGCAGAAAGACTTGCTTATTAAAGTTGACTCTAGTTAGCAATAGTTCTGTCTTATCTTTTTCTAGTGATATATATGTGGGTGTGTATATAAATATATATATATATGTATAAAGATGATTAAAACATTGTAATGCAATGCCACCTTCCTTGTTTTAGCTGAATTTATTGTGAAGGCTTTTTCAGATCTACATTGCTAAAGCTTCTATTGATTTCCCATTTTGCTCAATAATATGTGAGGCTTCCATGTTCAAACTGGGGTGGTTAGCTAATGAGCAATTAACTTCACTGTTTACTGAAAACAGTGGACAGAAAACTAACTCTGCTTGGTGGTCCTTAATCATGAGGTTCCTTTAAGTACCATTTCTAATAAAGCATTACACTAAAACAAAATAAAATTAAGCTGCAGCTGCACATACAGAATGTTTTTGACCCACATTTTTGCAGCCATAAATGTTTACAGGAAAAATAGGGAAAAATTATTTGTTCAGTATATTTGTGAAGAGATGCTCAAGCCAAGTGTGAAGCATATCCTTTTAATATATAAATAAATGTAACTTGTCATTTATCGCTTTTTGACAGGTAAAGAAATTTTACTTTATCTGTCTATTTTTTATCTCAATATACATTTTAAGTGGAAAGCAAAAAAGTATTTGGAGGTCTCTAAAGCCTGGCTAATGGCTCTGTTTAAACTTCTTGAGGTTAATACCTTAAGCTAAGCTTCTTGTCTTTCTGTTCAGTCAAAGAACCTCTAGATGGTTTTGTAGGAGTTGAGCACGTGGGCTGACATCTTTGCTTGTCAGTTCGCAAGTGTTTTCCCTCATTTTCTTTCAAATATGGAATATTTTACCTTTCCACTATATTGAGCTTGTAAATGATCGTATTTCTGTGTGTACATTTGTATAAGTTTGTGGAAGTCTTTAAAGTGGTAGTTCATCCACTTTTTGAAGACTACACTATTTTTTGAGAAGTCGTGTTATGTGTGATAAAGTGATAAATTTTGTTTTTAATTTCTTAGTATAAGTTAATATTAGGAAATCCTCAATGTTTGGTTTCAATCAAACTTAAACTAGGTGTTTTTGATTTTCTAATGTAGGATATCCCAAAACAGAATAAACTTCTAAGACAGCAGGATGTTTAAATTTGCCCCTCAGTGGAACTTTTTTTTTTTAATCAAAAGTCATTAGTGTCTAAATTCTACAGCTGCTTTTATGCCCTGTTATAAGGGATTTTTGCTGTAAGTTTAAGCTTGTGCTAACATCCTGCCATCTCAGTAAGTCTTGTTTGTTACCTCACTTCAGCCTCCACTGACACAGAGGTTGATAGCAGGTGTGATTTGCCACTTGATATAAACATTTATGCTTCTCTGAAATTGTCTAAAACCTTTGAGTGAAATATGAAGGAACTAAATTGAATGAACAAAAAATTCATTCTGGGACATTAACAAAATATTTAGGTTTTGTTGGAGAAGCAAAGGAAGTAATTTAGATGGATATCTGTTAGCAGTTTCAGGTTTGTTGGGGTTTTTAAGTCATAGTTTTTTCTGCTGCCACTGTATGATGGGAAATAGTTCTTGTTTTAAAGTGTTCATCTGTTCCTTTTGCTGTTTCCATCTCCTTCCTGACTTGAAAGGCTGGGCATGAGAAGACTAGATGAACTTCTTAAACAAACCTGTTTCACATCATAATTAAAGAAAACTTCAGATGTTCAAGGGAAGTCAGTTGGAAGGTGTTTGACATAATAGAATCCACAACCTGTATTTAAGAATGTAACTCCAAAAAACTAAGAGTAATTCTTTTAATTTAAATGAAAGTAGAGTGATAAAAAAATACCCTATGAGAAGAAATTAATTTTATCTACAAATCATTTGTATTAAGGTACCTCCATACACAGATGTGAACTTCAGATTTCATTGCAATATTGAATAGTTCTGTTGTTCACATTCATTCATCATGAAGGCACTTCTTGTTCCTTCTTTTAAACTTTAAGTTCAGCATAAGTACTGGCAAATGAAATGGGTAGAATGTGAAATTTGCAGCCTTTTAGTGAAATATAACGTAGAACTTCATAGCCTGTAACTAGTTTAATTTAAAAAGTTGTATTATTATTTTACTAATCACAGTTTAATTTCCTTTCCATAGGAATTTAAGAAATAGCATGCAAAATGTCAAGTTTTAGTTTTGTGCTAACTGAAAGCAAAATACATTAAATTGATGACAAATTATTATATAATTTTATTTTTCATTATAATGTTGTTTGTTTTTTGGTTTTTTAATAAGGTACCAGTATTTTTTGCAAATTAAACAGGACATTCTTACTGGAAGGTAAGACATTTTTGTTCTGTTAAATATTAAATGCAACTTTGGTTGAGAAAAAGTTAATGGTGAGGGATTTTACCTGCAAAAATAAAAATATGTTTAAAATAAATTACTGTTTATGCAAGCAGAAGTGTTTGTAATGATATCTATCCAATTTGTTCATAGACTATGAAAGATTAGGCTTTTCAAAATAACCAAATTTCGTATGAAATATGTAATTTTGTTTGTTTCTCATTTTAAAAACAAAACAAAACAGATTGCCCTGTCCTTATAATACTGCTACTCTTCTGGCTTCCTATGCTGTTCAATGTAAGTATAATTAGTATACTTGTACATTTTAGTACTGAAATATATAAAAAGTACTGTTGATTAGTTTCTTAAGAATGTAGTTTGTATAGCATTAAATTGTGATGTTTGTGGTCATGATGCTACTTTTCTCATGATTAAGGAATCACGGTTGGTTTTTCTCCCCTAGCATGTTTTTCTGAATTAGATACAGAAAAAATACTGTTAACACTCTCTGCTTTCCTTCTTTAAACTCATGCAGTTAAAAAAAAACACCCCAAACAACCCTTTGGTATTTCTCGGTATTCTGCAATGTGGGGTTGGGTTTTTTTCTTGAGAATGATGCTAAAGCATTTTTTTGACACTTAAACTTATTTTAACCTGCCATAGAGTGAACATCCAAATAAATTTGGAAAAGGGAGTTCTGGTTATATCTAGCGAAAAAGTTCAGTACCCATGTTGTCAGTTTTAAGCCATCCTAGTGAGTAGGAAAGTGTTGAAAACTGATATTTAGTCCTCTTCCTCTCTCCCTGTTTTCCTTCATAAACTTAAATTGTTCAGTGGAAAAACATAACCAACAAAACACACACGCTGACACCAACCAACCAAGAGACTGTTCACTTAGTTCTTGAAACTTGTGATTGTCAGAAATTCAGTTATATAAGCAATCCTCATATATCCATCTACATTTGTGTGTTTTTCTGCTAGAAAAGATACTTATATATACTTTTAGTACCATGTATAGAATCAAAGAGTAGTTTGAGTTGGAAGGGACCTTCAAAGATCACCTAGTTCTAAACCCACTTTTTAATATCAGAGAAATAGTGTCCATGTTAATCTTTTCAGGGGAAAAAATGTGTAGTGATATTAGTGTAATTTTTTCTGCATAGTTTTGATAAGTGGTCACCTTTTTCCAGAGCAATTGCTCTTAAACAAAACTCCCAAACTCCAACTATTTGGAAATAGACATGTATGGCAAGTGCTGTCATGCCTTAGGGATTTGTCTTAGAGGAGATAAAGTATTTGACAATGAAGCAGGCACTTTGAAAAATTTATAACATTTTAAGCTTTTGAGAATGCAATAAGTTTATTTTTCAAATATTGTAAAAGTGGTGGGTCTGTGCGTTGTAGTTACATTTATAGAT